TGGGGGAGAGAAAAGAAGAAAGAGAGAGAAGACTGGAGTAAAGTGGAGAATAAAGGGTATGACAAGCTTCTGCGTGTGATTTATGGCCTTGTATTTCAATAGTGTCTTGTGGACGCATTTATGTTTTATAAACGTAACTTTGCTCAACCTAAAATCCTTTCCAAGGAGTTTAGGGCACAATAGTCAAGTTCTTAGGAAAATGTGAAGCTGAAGGAGTGTAACACAGACACACACATACACACGGAGAGAGCGAGATTAAGAGGAAAACAAGAACATGAAGTCTCCCACTTGTCCTCTGTCTTGGGTAGAGTCAGTATAATTCTTCTAAACCTGTAAAACTGGAATACAGCACTAGCTTTAGGCCTACAGCTGAGCTTTTTTTAGGTTGTGTCACTCTGTGTGCATGTATAACAAACCTCAACTGCATGATTCTGTCATCTAAAAACATAACTATTATTGATAAAGTTATACATAGTATAAGTTTAATAAAATAATATAATGATAAACTCAAACATATAGGGCCCTATCATACACCCGGCGCAATGTGGCACAAGGCGCGACGCAATACTCTTTTGCTACTTTCAGCTCGGCGCAAGGGTCATTTTGAGGTGTTGCGCCACGCTGTTTAAATAGCAAATGCATTTGCGCTCAAATGTGCGCCCATAGGAGTTCTGGTCTTAAAAAGCAGGCGTGTTTTGGCGCATTGCTATTTTCAGAAACTGTAAATAGTCTGATCTTTAGACCAGAACAAAGTCGGTCTATTGTCTGGCTTACACACTACAAACAAGATGCAGAGCAATACGCAAATATCTTTACATATGAAAAATATATAATATCTTAAATATATATATATATATATATATATATATATATATATATATATTACAAAACATATTAATTTCTAGCCTACATGAAGATTTAAAAATCACTGCCTTCATCTCGGGAGGCTTTTTCAGTTCATTCAGTTTGCTTTTGTATAATGTTCGTATTTATTATATCCATATTTATATTTGTTTTATTAAAAACAAGCTTAGATTTGTCCACCTGTCAAATTTTAGATCATATGGGGCATGGCAGGTGTATTTGGAAATAATTTTGACCACACTTGGTTATTATTGTTCATTTATTCGTTTGCTAGAAATTAGAACTGAATTTAGAAATAGTTTTGAAACAAATCTTTGCGCTTAACAAACGAAATTAATTATTTATAGGCTAATTGATGTCTGTGCGTAAAGGTTTCCCTATCCACGAGAGCAAAAGCGAAAGTGAACTTACTTCACGTCAAAATGCGCTTATGGCGCGACGCAGCTGGCTCTTAAAGGTAATGGGAGATAAGACTCTAATTGGTTTATTCTCAAAACACACCTATAACTCATTAAGAAAATAAACTCAACCCTTTTAGACCATGCGCCATGGCGCAAAGCGGATATTCCCGTCCTTTAATTAGCAAAAATGCATTCTGACACGCCCTGAAAGTGTTTGCTCTCTGCGCATGGACCGTCAAAATAGAGCCCATAATGTTTGATCTTGAACTTTATCCACATACGTGTATGTGAGCACATCCGATTTCTCCACACATCCGAGCTTCCACACAATTCCTTCATGTTGTCCCAACACCAATTTTCAATAGATTCTGGCTGCAGATTTGCACTTGCACCTTCAGGCTTGCACACTCTGACTTGCACGCTCAGGCAACCGGGCTTCCTCTGCAAGTGACGTCATTTACAATCGCCACTTGTGGCCGCTTGCATGAAAGTCCTTCAGTAATTTAACTTAAGGGTGTCCCTTAAACGAAAAATCTAAGGTACCAGGTTTCATTAAGATCAATGCAACGAACGTCTAATCTGTCACCCTCACTCAAGTGCCTTTTTCCTAAGTGTTTCACTACTGTAGTTTCTGGCAACATACGGCGACGGGCGCCGCTGTTGCTATAGTTACTTAAACAGATCGTAACGAACCACGAATGCTTGCCTTACTACAGCTCTGCAGTAACGTACACATCACCTGTGCCGCTTTTTCTGTTAGTGAGTCGAGACGTTCCCTTATCCAGTCGATCTCAACATTATGTTTGGAGGACCTATAAAACTGGGCTGGGATCATGTTGAGACTTTTGAAGCAGCACTGAAACTGATTTCATATGGATGGCCTCCTACACAGACGTGCTAACTTACCATAACACGTATATTAGTTTATTAAATGGTTTCATTAAATTATTTATCTGCAGATCTGTTGGTCTTATCTAAAACATTTTTTGGGGGTGAGAATGCTTGCATTTTGAGTGTCATTTGTTTAAAGGAGCTGATTAGGTGCCTTAAATGTTTTAAGATGAAATGGTTACTAAGGACTGAGGGGAAATACTTAATGGCAGCCTTAAATTCCTTATGTTGGATCTTTTTTCTTTTTATTCTCCTTGAAAACCAACTTTTACTAAGGGTACCCTGAACCTTAAACTGAGGGATTTTTTTGGTTAAAGACTTTCAGGCAACTGAGCCTTGCACTCTCCTGTCATGTCACTTGCATCGGCATCTGCATTCTTAATTGCAATCATCCTGGGACCTGCTGAATAAAGAATTGTTACCCAAGTCGTTCAAGAATCATTGCTGTAAGTCCATAAGGTGTATCTGTTAGTTGTAATACTACAACTCCTTGAAATGTTTAAAATAGCTAAAATTCAAATTTGCCTTGTTTTTTTTTATTATTATTATTATTTGTATTCATAACTGTGGAAGAATACTTTTTGTGTCTAATTAGACCTGATAGTTCATATAAATAAACAATAAGCTTTGCTTGTATTAATGTTAATAGTAGCTTGCCTTGGTAAATTTACATAAGCAATATAATCATATGATGAATATAGAAACCGCTTTTTGGGGAGTGGGGGGTAGGTGGGGTCTGTCATGGTGCACAACTTAAGTACTTAGAATTATTTGACAACATCGTCACTGTCAACGCAAACAAACTGGAAACTACTTTCGGTTTATTTATGTTGATTTCAAGTGACGTGACGGGTGCTGTTGTCGATTGTAAATTACGTCACTTAGGAAGCGTAACATTGGAAGCGTTGTAGCCTGAGTGTGCAAGCCTGAGAGTGCAAGGCTGAAGGTGCAAGTGCAATTTTACTAATTTAAGTGTATATATACATACACACACACACACACACACATACATATATATAAAGGACTTACTAGTCATAAAAAGACATAATTAGTTATTACTATTTGCATGGACTATTTAGAAAAATTATTTGTATCAGATTGTGTATTGTGAATCAGGTTATGAAAAATGAAAGATTTGTTTATTAAACGCACACTAAAGCACATTTAGTCCTTGGCTTACTATATGAGGAGTACATGAACACATAAACTGAGACCCTGTTTATTCTAATACGTTAACGGTTACGCCTTCCATTCACACTACCCCAGAGTTTATAAGCCCTGAAAACTGAGTTTTAAAACACTGAAGAGGCCATTTTCATTTTAAAACACCTGCTGCTCCATGTCCATGGTTCATTTTCATAATTTTCTTATGACACATGTTCAAGTTATAGCTCAAATGAAAGCTCTTGCCGATGCTTATGTGGTTCTAGCATTCTTTTTACTGAATTATATTCACATATCAGACAGTTGCCGAATGAATCGCGGTGTTTCCATGGCGCAGAAATGAAAACAATACATTCATGATCACTAAGCAACCCCAGATAGCACAGACAGCTGTCATCTCTTACCTTATGCTGTGTGCTTCAAGGTCATTCTCCTCTATTTTTGAGGTGATGTGCATAAGTAATCCTTTTAGATGTCTGATGTGCTCCAGACACAGTGAATTACGTTTGATCAAACAAAAGAATAGTGAAATATGAAAACAATGATCGGTCCCTGTGGCTTGTATAGCACCTCTTATCAGTTGGAATACAATAACTTTTGCATAGATTATGGTAGAGACATTTTTCTTTTTTCCTATGATTACAGACATGTGCAGGAACCACCAAAATTTATTACAGCACGCTAGACCACACAGTACCTAAAAGTTTTCACACTTTCAAATTTGAGTTTATAAAAAAAAAATACAAAAAGCGCCTCTTTTTTTTTTTTTTAGGTGTTTATCATAACACAGACAACTTATACAGTTATTTTAAACACTTTCAATTATGTTTTATGAAAATTCAAAGGGTTTTCTTTAAAATGATACCAAACTTTTGCATTTACACCTCTGCATATGGATTTGGGAAGCTTTTAAATTTGGGTAGGCAAAATCCAAGCGGAAATCCCAAAATAGCAGCAGAGTTTAACTGGTTAAATACATTTTAATACAAATTAAAGTTAAAATGGAATGATGAAATACCTAAAGATGAAATGTTATTTAAAAAATGAGATAAAATAAATTGCTTGATTTTTATGTAAAAAAAAAATCAAGTGTAGTGTAAAATATCATTCACCTCTAATTCGTTAAATGTGACTGTAAGGCATTACGATATTAAAGTACTTAATTAGGGTATTTTTGTACTGTTAAAAAAAGCATTTTACAAATGGACTTGACTTGAGATTTTAAATCTATTTGGACTGGTGTTGATTTTATACTTTGTTGTTGTTTAATGGCTTTATGTATAATGCATTTGTTCTCTCTCTCACTTCTCCTCTTTTATAGGTAGATTGATGTGGATGCGAGGTGTTCCCTGACTTCCCAGCCCCTTCCCCTTCCCTCAGTTATCCCTTCCCTTCAGCGTGTTCTGTCGGTCCAGCACACTGCGGTCAGCATGACCTCCACCTTGCAGACCCTGGCCTTTAAACTGGCCCCTCCCTCAAGAGAAGCTGGGTCAGGACAGCTGGAGCCCTGTAGTGATGTACAGGGGCGACGCTATGAGGTTGTCCCATCAGTGGTCTGCTCCATGTGCTGTCTCTTCGGAATCATCTATTGCTTCTTTGGTGAGTTGGCTCTTCATGTTTACTAGAGCGACTATTCGTAAATGTTCATAAACTACAGTAGTAAAGGAGCAAAAATTTGTTTCAAAATTGTCCTAAGACAAGTGTGAGTGTTGTATGACAACTATGAAAAAAAGTATTAATCCACTTCAAATACCGACTACCATACACTCATCAGCCACTGTATAAGGTACACCTTACTAGTACTGCGTTAAACCCCCTTTTACCTTCAGAACTGTCTTAATCCTTCATGGCAGAGATTCAACAAGGTACTGGAAATATTCCTCAGAGATTTTGCTCCATATTGATGTGATAGCATCACACAGTTGCTGCAGATTTGATAGCTGCACATCCATGATGCCAATCTCCATCTCTTTCATGTTGTTTATGCCAAACTCTGTCCCTACCATCCAAATGTCGCAACAGAAATTGAGACTCATTAGACCAGGCAATGTTTTTCCAATAGTCTATTTTCCAATTTTGGTGAGCCTATGCGAATATTAGCCTCGGTTTCTTTTGCTAACGGGAGTGGCACCCGGTGTGGTCTTTTGCTGCTGTAGCCTATCTGCCTCAAAGTTGGACGTGTTGTGCGTTTAGAGATGCTCTTCTGCATACTGTGTCTCGGTTGTAACGAGTGGTTATTTGAGTTACTGTTGCTATTTTATCAGCTCGGACCAGTCTGGCCATTCTCCTCTGACCTCTGGCATCAACAAGGCATTTGCACCCATACAACTGCCACTCATTGGATATTTTCTCTTTGTCGGACCATTCTCTGTAAACCCTAAAGATGGTTGTGCGTGAAAATCCGGGTATGTCAGCAGTTTCTGAATTACTCAGACCAGCCTGTCTGGCACCAGGTTGAAACATCCATGCCACATTCAAAATCACTTAAATCACCTTTTTTTTCCCCCCATTCTGATGTTTAGTTTGAACATGTCTACATGCCTAAATGCATTGACTTGCTGCCATGTGATGGCTAATTTGAAATTTGCGTTAACAAGCCGTTGGACAGGTGTACTTAATGAAGTGGCTAGTGAGTGCATAAAATATGCATGTCTCGGAACTATTACTTTTTTAATATTAAACCTAAAAAAAATGACTTATAATTTATTTAAATTGGTTTTAATGAGGCGATTACTTATTAATCAATAATTATTTTTGACAATATTTCTGTTTATTTATTCACCTCAAGCTTTTGCATAATGACCTTTTTGTTTGTTTAAATAATTTTTTTAGAAAATCTTTTAAAATGTGTCCCACACATGGCATGCAAGAAATCAATCATAAATGATGACCATGATTTATTCATTCATTTAATCCCCTTATTTTAAGTAAAAATGTCTGCACTTTCTTAATTCATTCCCTCAGTTTACTAAATCGTGTATTTATCTTACTAACTAGTTCCCTTATTTTAAGAAATGAAGAAATTTGTGCTGTCTTTCAAGGTAAAATGTGTGCAAAAAAAAATAATACACTTAGTTGTACTTCCTGTCTGCATACTATACTTTACGTTACAGTATAACATTATGATTTCTGTTTTGTAAAATAATGATAATAGCTATAACTAGTTACAACTAATCAGCATATCAAGACAGGATCATAAAGAAAGCATCCTGTTCGCAAAAAAGCCCAATACAATACATGGTCTGAAGCACCAGCGCTTGTTAAAAGGTAATGATTATTTCAGTGGACAGGATTTATCTCAAACAGGAGCACGATTTAGTAAATCATGCACTTAGTTTAGTAAATCAGAGGAAGAAATTAAGAAACTACACATCATTTACTTAAAATGAGAGTATTGTTTAATAAATCAAACACATGCGCTAGTAATTGAACTAATTAAGATATTGTGCCCATCTTTTTTTCTTGTGTGTTGTGTGGGGCTTCTTAAAAATGTAATAAGTACATAAAAAAACATTTATACAGAGCATAAAGCAAATGGAAAAATAAATAAAGTGGACAACCTCGATTAATATACATATACGCTCCAGCCAGCATTGTGTTTCTGTTCATATTAAATTCATATTCATATCATGTTTCTATTTAAAAAAAAAAAAAAAAACAAAAAAAACAATGCAGAATCGGTCAGAATACAACAAACTAGGGATGTAACGGTATCAGAATTTCACGGTACGGTAATACCTCGGTATGAATGTCACGGTACGGTATTTATTGAATCATTTACAGGAAAAAACAAAACTTATGAAAATACTCCAAAAAAGTGCCAAAAGTGTCAATGACATACAAATTAGCCATCTATCTGTAAGCTTTGAAACAGGAACTTCAATTTTAATAACAAAAAACTATTAAACCATGTAAAAAAATAAAGTTTCAATTTAGTATTGTTGAAAACTCATCACATTCAACATTTAATCACACTCAGCCCATCTACCCAGATGAGAGCTCTGCTAGTCGGACTTCTCATCAAGCATCTCCCGCTGGATCTAATCTCACTATATTTATTAAACGGGATATTTCATTCATCTTGTTGTCTTTATCTAACGACATATTCCCTGACTTTGGGCATTGGAATCTATTACTTGTTCTCAGGTAACGTGTTTTGGCTGAGCGCAAAGATAAGTTAATGATTAATGTAACCACGTACATTCTGTATATTGACTGATCGCTTGCCTTTATTTCCTATAATGTATAAACTTATTGTATGTTATACTTTTAAAATGGCCATTATCGATTCTTAAAACTTCGTATCTTCACTGAAATTGAAAGGAGGCAGTTGTTATCGGCTGTGTTTTGTTATAAATATTCACACAGTGAAAATGACGCTCATCTTATGCAGCACGACGCCTCAACATTTCTGCTGTCTAAGTTGCTAATATTAAAATGAAAATAGGCAGTTCCTTAAATCATGTTTACATTTTATTGTTGAGAAAGTGAAACAACGAAGCCAGGGTGATGTGAATGAAGTTATAAAGTACACTGTTCCCTTTGAAGATTTACCCGTGTCCTCGGTATAATCTGCTTTTCCATATCAAACTGAGAAGAAGAGACTGCAGCCTTGATCAAACTTGCGAAGTCTGAACTTACACGGAGAAGATGCGGGACTGAACTGTGCGTGTAAAGCAGGTCGCACACCAGAAGCGACGCTCGGCGGCGCGCCGCGCAGCGCCACGCAGCGCCATGTATTTTAGAATTCTAATCATAGGTTTCTATCAGGACACACACACCGGCGCCGCAAGTCGGCGGCTGTCGGCGGCGCCCGGTGACGGCTCAGGACGCAGTTCATTTTTCAGCCGCGCCACAGAGCGCCATCTGATTAGTTTCATGTTAAATATCATTCGAATGTGCGCGTCTGGTGTGCGATACTTTAATCTGTCATGTACGCGCCGTGTCGCGGCGCTTCTGGTGTGCGACCTGCTTTAGAGTTTTCCAGCTCTTTTCATCCCCGCTTCTAGCAGCACACTCCATTTCCGCATTACTGGATCTGTAGCAACAACAGACCGCAAGGGATGATGGTCAAGCATGGGCTGATGGCAATTGTAGTTTTCGTTACCTTCCGTTCGCTTTATTCGCCTGAGCAAAATTTCTCAGAAGACCTATAGTTTTACCGAGTCATGCGACTTCGGTAATATCGAAAAAATTAATATTGCGGTATGACGGTATTTACAATACCGTTACATCCCTACAACAAACCTATTTCCAGTGCATTCTTCACAGCACCACAGTTTGCATTTTATCATAACTGTGAGATTTAGTTTGCATTCACTCAATTTGCATATAGCAAAATGACATTTCGCAAAGTTAAGAAATTTCAATTAAAAAAATCGCATCATATACCACCCCTTTTCCAGTTGTACACACTTGTTGCTCTGCAAAGCTCAGTTTCACGCGAAATTTACTAAAAGCATGTACTGTAATGTAACTTGCAGCATGGGATGCCCATCCTTCGTTTATGTACATTCAAATCATTCATGTTTTTTAAAGCGAAAAAGAGATTGCATGCTGTTGTGTCAGATACGAGCAGAGCACACACATCTGAAGTCATCTTAATGTGAGCGTTTTATGGTCAAATACATACAAATCTGTGTCAAAACGGGGTGTTTAGTGATTATTCATATTAACTCTCATTTATTTAATAAACAAAAGAGTTGAGATGTTAAAGTGAAACCATTAATCAGAAAGATACTGCTCTTAAAGTGACAGTGCGCAATATTCCTGCTGCTGACTGTTTTTATCATTAATCCAACAACAATAGGACAAAATCACTCACTGCTCTTGACTAAAAGACTTTTGTAGCTATAGTTAAAGTTTTTTTTCTTGCAGTGAAGATGCTTAAAGCACAGTTTGATTCATATTTTTATTCTATTGCATTTATTTCCCTTTCCTTATTTACAGAGAGGAAAGTAACTGTGTATATATACAGTTAAAGTCAGAATTATTAGCGGCCATTATATTTTCCCCCAGTTTCTGTTTAACGGAAAGATTGTTTTTCAACACATTTCTAAACATACTAGTTTTAATAACTCGTTTTTAATAACTGATTTATTTTATCGTTGCAATGATGATAGTACATAATATTTTACTACTTATTTTTCACAATACAAACTTTCAGCTTAAAGTGCAATTTAGAGGCTTAATTAGGGTAATTAGGCAAGTCATTGTATAGCAGTAGATTCTTCTGCTAAAAATAAAAAAAAAAAGGGGGGGGGGTAGCTAATAATATTGATTTTAAAAATAGATTTTAAAACATTTAAACCTGCTTTTATTCTAGCCCATATTAAAACAAAAAAAAGACTTTCTCCAAAAGAAAGAAATAATATAGGAAATACTGTGAAAAATTCCTTGCTCTGTTAAACATCATTCGGGGATTATTTATTTAAAAACGTCCACAGGAGGGCTATTTATTTTGTCTTCAACTGTATATCATTTTGAATAACCGTGATTGCAATTATGACCAAAATAATCGTGAATATTATTTAGCTGCCCTAATAACTATAATAGTATTTTTATTAGGAGAGAACCTATTGCAGGCTGAATATTTGAATTATATACAATGTCATTATTGGGAGATGGGTTTTAAAACTTGGCACAAAATCTCAATGCTCACAGTCTCTCGTTATTACAGT